ATATTTTGTCGAAGGTGGTAGGAACATATGGCATGTACGGCTTCAGGGTAAACAACTTTCATAGCAGACTTTATGCCCTGGTGGCGATCAGAAACAATCACTAAATTTTCCGGACATCCAAAAGTGGATCGAAGCTTTTGGAGAAACCACATCCATGCACTATGACATTCTTTATCGCCGATACCAAATGCCAAATGAAAAATTTGTTCATTTCCGTCCTTTGTAGTTGCTACAAATGCCTTTATACTTACCCTTCAAATGCGTACCGTCAATCACAATAACGGGCCGACAATAACTGAGGAAGACTGCAGACGCATGAAAATAAATGAAAGCATACTCAAACACGTCATCTTTATCGGTCTGAATGTATGCCGATGTTCCAGGATTTTCCTTCATCGACATATGAAAATACGCCGGCAAAAGTTCCCAGAACTTCTTGTGATCTCCATAAATGAAGTCGTATGCGGCGCTTTGAGACCTCAAAGTTGTATTGTAGTTGAGCTTAATGCCATGATCACGCTCCATGTCACCCATAATTTCTGCAGGCTTCAATACTCGGCCCTCTGTCAACAACTTCGGCGCGAATAATGCTCCAATGATCTTTGCAGGCAATTGTCGAGGGGCTGAATGACTCAGGTTAACCAAGCATGTATGTGGATGAATAAAGTTTGAAATTTTCCAACTACTTCCAGTCAGTGCATTCGCAGAAAGCAAGAATGGGCAGTTTTTATGCTTGCACACAACCTTTAACCGAGAATTTGAAGATCTAGGTGTTCGGTACTCCACTTTATGCTTCAAATGGTGTAACCCAACTTTTACCAACAAATCTTCCTTACTTTGAATGACAACGCCTTTGGCTAATTCACGGTCTATCATTGATGGCTCTTCAGACGAGGGATGAACATCAACATTGTGAAAAATGGCTTCGGGAATCCTCCAACCACTACTCGAACGAGTAGTAGTTTCAATCAAATTGTCTTCTTCAATAGCAACACCTCCAGAAAAATCAAGCTGAGGAACA